GGGGGGGGGGGGGGGGCATACATCTAAAGTATAATTTCTTGGTACCCTTCAAAGAGTCGTATAAAAAAGGCATGATATATTCACACTTCTCTCCAACAAAATGGTTATTTTAAGTTGTGATTTTTCTTTGCAGATTTATTGCTACAGAAATAACGGAGGAAATTGTGAAAATTACGCATTTTTCATTCTAATCAGAAATATAACAATATTTTCCACATCGTTGTTCAGATAAAGGTTTAAAGCAGTGCAGTGCTTAGGATCCATTTAATTTTGATGCAGATCCGGATCCTGGATCCGCAGTGGAAAAAATTTACTGAATTTTTTTAATAGAGAAGAATTTTCAAATTTTTCGTCTTATTTTTTTCGCTTATTTTTAAGCTGAAACTTGGTGAACCATTCAAATATCAGGAAATTTTTATAATTTGGTTGAGAGTAAATTTTTTTTTGCAGTTTTTTGTTGATTTTTTGCCTCTTTGGATCCGGATCTGTTGATCCACATATTTTTGCGGATCCAGGGAGCTAAAATCCAACGGATCGGTATCCTAAGCACTGGTTTAAAGAGTACCTTTGTGAATTGGTCAAGTATTTAATTTACAGATCACTACAGTCTCTTAAAATGTGATTAAAAAAATGAAAAAAAATTCATAAAAAGGTTCAAATTTTCAGGATACTCTGCAGTATTGTTTTGAGAAGGATTTGAAGGAAGGTGATGTGGTTTTAGTGGCAGGACAGGATAAATCTCATCTCAGGAATAATATTTCATTTCTTTATTTCATCACAAAGGAAAAAATAAAACAAAAAGTAATTAAAACAACAAACAGATTTATTCATAAATAATAACCCTCCCTTTCAAAAATATTTCCCACCAGATGTTAGTTATGTTTGCGGCGGAGATAAAATGTATCTTTGGTATCCATTTTTTCATTTCGTTTCCACAAACCCTCGAAATTCCCCCGTTAATTCTCAAAAATATATACCCTGAAGTTCTGAACACTGAATCAATGATTGATCACATGAACCAACGTTTAAACAAACAAATATTATCTCTAGAATACGGAGCTGT